CATCAATTTCAAAATGTCATCAGTCAAACGCTTGGTTTATGCAGTCATTCATTTCTTGAGAGAGCAGAGTCAGATGGATACTTTCACTCAAGATGAACAAGAAAGCTTGGAAGGTAAGTAATAAAGGTGCTAATGTATGGGTGGGTAAACTGAGAATTTTAATTTGAATTCAGCTACTCCTGGTTATCTCTAGTTTAGGTTAAAAAAGTCATATCTATAAAACAAAATATAACATTAAACTAATTTTTCTGTTCAAACTAGGCTTTACAAAGATTCTTCTTCAGTCTAAAACGTTTAGATATTATGCCACACAAATATATGGCCATTTGGTTGTGGTGTTTTGGGGTGAGGTGCGTGACACATGCATAGTTGTATTATGAATTGTGGTGCTTTTGTTATATACTCATATTTTTATGTAAAGAAAGAAATAAATAAAAAAGACATCAAATGATTGAAAGAATTGAAATAAAATTTTTAAATTGGTTTAACAATAATGGCCGAGCTATGCATAGATTCTGTATAGCTTATACTATTTTCTAGGCAGTCAGTTCTTTGGGGATCAGGTAGCCTCTCTTTATTTTATGATGTGTTCCAAAGAGCTGCTTTTACTAGCTGAATAAGGAAGTGAATCACAGCTTTATAAATAAATTAATGAAATTACACTTCTAAGAAACTAGTGACTTTTTTTTTTTCTTTTTTTTTTTTTCTTGTAAGTTGCAATTCAGTGTCTGGAGACTGTTTTTAAGATTAACCTGGAAGATACTCATCTTGCACCTTCAGAGCATTTGATAGAAATGTTCACAAATTCTTTTCACAAGGTAAGAATTTAATTTAGATTTTAGAGTTAATTTGCCAATATGTGCTAAGATTTCATATTGTATACACAACCTTAAAGTGCTGTATAGGTCAAAATGATGAGGAAACTTAAGGAAAACATGAAAAAAAGTGACATTTCCATAAAAGCTAGCAGAATGAGAATCTTTTGGGGCAGTGGGAGGAATTAATTTCAGCTAGACAAGGACAATTCCATATAGAAAATTATTGAACAGTGGATGTCTCATTCTCACTAGAAGCATTTTATCCTTCAGTTAAGCATTTTGCAATTCCCAGAGATAAAGGTCTGCAAAATGCTTGAGGTCATCTGCAGTTTTCTGATGCTTCTTACTCCCTTCTGGAAATAATTTAGTTGTTCAGTTTTAAAAACATCCCCATGAAGGTTAACCTTAAAATGGGAACTTTAAAAATGTGTACTAATAATACGTTCTATCTGGGAGTCCCCAGTAGAGGAAGCACAGGAACCACCAGGATGGCAAATAGGAGAGTCGGAAGTTAATAAACTAAGATTGAAGAGACATGTTAACTCTCTTCCCCTTGACTTCCTTAAAATGTGTGGTGACCCATAAGGTTTCATTAGTAGTAGAAAGCAAGCTGTCTTTCTCTTCTAAGGATGTTTTAGTGATATTTTAGTTCTTTCATACTTCCTGTGCACTACAGAAAATCTGGTTGCTTGTTAATACAACGCTGCCCAGGATGAAATAACTTCTTAGTAAAATCAGGGCTTATATTTTAATGAAAAAAATCTTGGTTTGTTTACATACAGAATGACATGCTGCCTCTCTCAGATTCTTTACCAGAGGATGTTGAAAAGGCTGACCAACTAAAGGATGAAGGTTTGTAATAAACATAGAAATAAACATCTTATGCTTTTATTAAGATTTTTGGGTTATCATGGATAGTGATAGTATAGCAGCTGGGCAACACACACCCTGCACAAAAACTTCAACTTACATTCTCTGGCGATTGTTATGTTGTAAGAGGGCTAAGTGATTTGCTCCATGTGGGGCTTAAGAAAATACAGTCTATTCTCTCCCTTGCTCAGGAGGTTGCTTAAAAACTAAGGGATAACACATGAAGTCCTGGGCAACATTCCTGAGTATTAGAAGCTTTAAAGAATGAACAGTTATTGTTCAGTATATTATAGATGTGTCTGTTTGTCCATGGGATTTCTATACAAGTTTCTACTTTATGTTGAAAAGGTTGTGTGATGTCAAGGATTATATGCTAGTTGAATATTAAAACATCAGCTTAGGGTTAGTATTTCAAATTGTGTGAAATAACTTGTGTGCTCTATAAAAATTACAGAAAAGCCAGTTGTTTGTTTTCCCTTTGAAAGATGTTATTGCTGTTGATGTGAGGAAAAGCAGCTGTACCATAGAAGTCTTCACTAATGCTACCCAAGAAGGAATCCATTTTATTTCCCCCCCCCCCAAAAAAAAGTAGCATGTAGCACCGATAACTGATATGAATTGGTATCAGGTGGATAGATGCTTTATAAATCACATTTTTTATGACCTGTTGGATTTTCAAATAATTGAGTTTTATAGAAAAAATAAGTAAGTTCCTAATTGCAAGACAGATGTAATCCTCTCAAAAATTTCAGGATAATCATGTGGAAAAAGTTCTACTGGTTTTGAGAACAAGTTCCATGTCTGTCTTATCTTAAAACTGGTCATTTGTAGTCGTGAATGCAGTCCATTACTGGCTCTGAAAGTAAGTTTTGCTAATTGTTGAAGTTGCTCATTGGCTCTTTAATCCTGAGGATAAGAGCTCAAACAAGGTTAGGTCACAAGTGAAAATTAGTTTGTAAGTTATAACATACCTGCCATGCATGATAGCTTTTCATTTTGCTGTCTGTTACTGCCAGCTCATAGAAAGTGAAGAATAGCTGCAGCACTCAGTATGGTTATTGGACTGCAGGGATATTCAGCACTTTCTAGGTGTGGGTATTACAGCAATGCATGTTTTAAATCATAGAATCATTTAGGTTGGAAAAGATCATCAAGTCCAACTGTTAACCTAACACTGCCAAGTCCACCACTAAACCATGTGACTAAGCACTACATCTACTCGTCTTTTAAATACTTCCAGGGATGGGGACTCAACCACTTCCCTGGGCAGCCTGTTCCAATGCTTGACAACCCTTTCGGTGAAGAAATTTTTCCTAATATCCAATCTAAACCTCCCCTGGTGCAGCTTGAGGCTGTTTCCTCTCGTCCTATCGCTTGATACTTGGGAAAAGAGACCAACCCCCACCTTGCTACAACCTCCTTTCAGGTAGTTGTAGAGAGCGCTAAGGCCTCCCCTCAGCCTCCTCTTCTCCAGGCTAAACAACCCCAGTTCCCTCAGCCACTCCTCATAGGACTTGTGCTCTAGAGCCTTCACCAGCTTCATTGCTCTTCTTTGGACACGCTCCAGCACCTCAATGTCCTTCTTGTAGTGAGGGGCCCAAAATTGAACACAGTATTCAAAGT